ACTATGTGCTAGGCACTGTGTTAGGTGCTAGGGATTCAGTTACATAAGACACAATCATTCCTTGTTTTCAAGGAGCTTAAATTCCAATTCAAAAAGAAGAAAAAAAATACATCTTAGGTCAAGATGCTATAGGATATGGGACTTTGGAGCAGTCCATCCAGTCCAGTCCTCTAGTAGTGGCTCAGACAGGCAAATGACTTGGTCTTCTTTTCACCCCTCTTGCTAGGCAGCACATTAATCACACTGGTACACAGGCAGTAAATATCAGAACCAAGATTCAAGCCCAGATCTTCTTGCTCTTAATCAAGTGTTTTTTTTTTTAAGGCAATTAGGGGTTAAGTGACTTGTCCAGAGTCACACAGCTAGCAAGTGTGTGAAGATGGATTTGAACTCAGGTCCTCCTGATGCCAGGTACTCTATTTTTACTGCACCACTTAGATACCCCCGATCCACTTCTCTTGAGACTCAATAACATTCTAGTTCCTTTCCTGTCTCTGACTTTAACATTGAGCAAAGTCCTTGCCCTTCTCCACTTTGGTTTCTTTCAGAGAGTTCATGGAATCATAGACCTAGACTGGAAAAGATCTGAGAGATCATATAGTCCGAGTCTCCCCACCTTCTCCCCTCTCAAACAGAATCCCTTCCTGTTCTGAGCCGAGAGTGGGCGGGGGTCCTTGGAGCCACCAGAGCTCCTCAATCCGCACCCCACTCCCCAACACACATTTGGCTTCTTTCTCCTTCGTTTCTCCGTGTCCTTCTTCCTTGGTGCTTCCTTCCTGACACCTGGAGAATGTCCCTCAATCTCAGCCCCTCCTTCTTCTGTTCCGCCTCCTCCCACTTCCCAGTCCTATCCTTCTTAGCCTCCTCCCCTTTTCCTTCCCCCGCCTAGCTCCAGGTGAGACACTTAAGGCATCCTTGTGCCTAGCAGTTCAAAGGCCCCGCCCCATTCCTTTTCGAGCTGTAGCTGGACCACCTCTGGATGCCGCCGCTGTTCATTGTTAGACTGAGTTTCCTCGCGCACGCACCTTGGCTGAGCCCGGGGACCGATTCAGGCACAATTGAGGGATCGGGGGTGAGACCAGGTTCTCATGGAGACGGAAAATCAGTTTGCTTGGACTGGGGAGATTGTGGCTAGGGGGTCTGGTGGATGGGGGGCGGAGGCTCTAGAGTAGAAGGCGAGGCTGGCATGGGCATGTCTGAAGGAGTTTTGGCAGAGGAAGGAATACCAACTCTGTGGATGCCCACAAGGGAGAAGGACCCAGATTTGGGGGGCTGCAGCGGGGTGGACAGGCGGGGGGAGTCTTGAGGAGACTGATGTTCATGGGGCTGGGGGTGAGGAAGAACGGTGTGAGCATTGAGGCCCTGCCAAAGAGAATGGGACGGCTGGGTTCCCTGGGTCTGTGGGTCTGGGGTGAGGCTGGGGTTAACTGAGGTACTAGGACTGGGAAATCTGGAGTCCCGGATGAGGCTGCTATAGTCCTCAAGGAGCAGGGTTGCAGTAGTTGTTGTGGTCTGAGGAAATCCAGGTTTGGGACTTGAGGGAGGACTCAAGGGTATTTGGAAAGGACTAGGTCCAGAAAACAGGGATGGCTCCTGTTTCTTGGTTACTCTGGAGACAGATCTCCCTCCACCGATTCAACCCCTAGGACAGCACCGGCTGCTGCTGGGTTCCCCACAGCAGCTGGCTGGAGCTGAGGCTTAGTTAGTTCTCAGCCTTGGAGAAACCACGACATCAGTTTTTCTTAAAGTTGCCTTATTTTATACTTGGCAGGGGGCACACATCTGAGTGGAGGCCAGGGGCAAGAGCCACTGGTTCACACATCACCCCCTGCATCTTCCTCCTGTCTTATCTCTTTACCTGCTGTGAGCCCCAGCATCAATGTTGGAAGAATTTGCTACCCAACACTGAGCTGAGCCAGGTACTGGGGGTTGGGGAGGGAGGGGAAAGAGTAGAATGGTTGGAGTGACTAGAGAAAAGAAGGACTCAATTGTTGTTTCCCTGGCCTGCCAGTAACTTTCACTCCGCAGGGGAAAGATCCCCTCCTGCAATGGGACAGATGTAGTAGATTAAACCCAGAAGGAGAAAAGAGCAGGGAAGAGGGGAGAGATAGAAGGGAAGTGAAGAACTTGATAAAAAGAGAAGAGGGTGGGCACTCCTTAAGCTCTTCCAGGGGATGAGATCAGCAGGGGCCTCATCTTCTCTCCATCCTCTCATTGGCCTTCCTTGATCTAGTCTGGATTCAGCTGGAGGGACAAGAGGAAGGCACACGGAGGACACGGGAGATTGGGCAGTATGCATAGGGGCATCAGTTTTTCCTATCAGATAATCTGGGTTTGAGAGCTGACTCCTCTGAGGCACAGGTCAGCGTTGGAAGAGGAATTAGAACACAGAACTTAGAATGTTTGAGATGGAAGGGACCTTGGCCCAGCCCTTACAGATTAGGAAACTGAGGCACAGAGAGGCTAAGTGCCCAGGTCTTTTGATTCCAAGTCCAGTGCTTTTAACATTATTCCATGCTCTCTCTTTGGAAAAGGGGTGAGATGAGAGGCTGGGGCTGACACTGCATATTGGGATCTATTTTCTTACAGGGAAGCTAAGAAGATTCAGACTGGGGAGCCAGGTAGAATGATGGGGATAAGGATGTGGGATTGGTGTGGTATGTCAGGGTCTTTAAATGAATAAAGCACATTCATCTACGATATTGGAAGACAACCTGGTGTAGTGGAAAAAGCACTAAGTTTGCAACACAGTAACTATGTGCCTTTGGACAAGGCATCTCTGGGCCTCGGTTTCTCTATCTCTAAAGATAAAAGGTTTGGAATAAATGATATCTAATGGCCCTTCCAGTTCTGATATCCTTTATGTCCTGATATCCTATGTAAACTGAGTCAAAGGGTTAAGGAATAGGAGTCCCTGACGGAGGCAAGAAAGTTGTTTGATAGTTCTTAAAATGATGATGGTGATAGCTAGCATTTATATAACACTTTAAGGTTTGCAAAGCACTTTACACATATTATCTCATCTGATCCTCACAACAACCCTGGGAGGTAGGTCCTATTATTATTATTTTTCAGATGAGGAAACTGAGGCAGAAGAGGCTGAATTAGTTGCTGTCTAGGGATTATCTAGGTTGGTTTTTTATTATTATTTATTATTTATGAATGAATAGTACAGGACCAAGAGTCAATTTTTCTATCCCTTGGGGGTCCCCAATTATGAAAAAAATCAGCATGCAAATGAGACAAGTCATGATCAAACTCTCTGACTTCTTGACCTCCAGCTCCTCTTGCCTTCTTGCCACCCCCCACCAGCTTTAGGCGTGGGACAGTCAGAGACTGGTATTTCTTTAGTCCTCAGCCTCCCAAAAAGTAGAGCTGGACTGAGGTCTGAGATCCTCACCTGATAGGTCTATTTCCCTTCGGGAATCTTTCCCTTTCTATTCCTGCCCCTGACTCACTTTCCTGACTCATAGTGGCCAGCTGTGCACACCAGAAGTGGCATTGCCAGACTTACCACTTGGGGGCACCTTCCTCCCTTAATCTCATTCTCTCTTCCTCTTCCTCCTCTTCTCCGTCTTCTTCCTCCAGGTGCCCAACAATCTAGCTGCTCTGTGTTCTGAGGGAACTTCCAGCTCTAACATTACTTGTTGACTGTCCTAAGTAAAGTGGATGATCTCCAATCTCTGTTAGCTCTGTGACTGTAAATTTGTGATTGTCAAAGAGTCTTTATCACAGGTCTTTATCAGAAACCAGATCCTGGCCCAACTGATAAATAGTCAAAGGATATGAACAGGCAGTTTTCAGGTGAAGAAATTAAAACCATCTATAGTCATATTAAAAAATACTCTAAATCACTATTGATTAAAGAAATGCAAATCAAAGCAACTCTGAGGTACCACACCACACCTATCAGATTGGCCAACATGATAAAACAGGAAAATGATAAATGTTGGAGAAGATGTGGGAAAATTGGAAAATTAATGCATTGCTGGTGGAATTGTGAACTGATCCAACCATTTTGGAGAGCAATTTGCAACTATGCCCAAAAGGCTATAAAAATGTGCATACCCTTTGACCCAGCAATAGCACTTCTAGGGCTGTATCCCTAAGAGATCATAAAAATGGGAAAAGGACCTACATGTACAAAAATATATATAGCAGCTTTTTCTGTGGTGGCAAAGAATTGAAAACTGAGACGATGCCCATCCATTGGGGAATGGCTGAACAAGTTGTGATATATGAATGTGACGGAATACTATCATGCTGTAAGACATGATGAGCAGGTGGACTTCAGAAGAAACTGGGAAAACTTGTATGGACTGATGCTGAGTGAAGTGAGCAGAACCAAGAGAATATCATACACAGTAAGAGCCACATTGTGCAGTGACTAACTTTGATAGCAATGCAAGGATCTAAGACATCTCCAAGCCTTATGATGGAAAATGCTATCCACATCCAGAGAAAGAACTATGGAGTTTGAATGCAGATTGAAGCATACTATTTGCTATTTCTTCTTCTGTTTTGTTGTTTCTTCTTTCTTGTGGTTCCTCCTATTGGTTCTAATTCTTCTTTACAACATGACTAATGTGAAAATGTTTAATAGGAATGTATATGTAGAGCCTATATCAGATTGCACACTGTCTTGGGAAGGGAGGTATGGAGGGAGGGGGGAAAATTTAAAACTCAAAAGCTTATGGAAGTGATTGTTGAAAACTAAAACTAAATAAATTAATTAATAATAAAAAAATATAGGAATGGAAAAAAAGTCTATTTTAATGTAGCTGGACCACATTGCTAATCATGTTATTCAAATAAGTTCAACAAATGTTTATTTCATGTGTAAGACATTGCTTGGGATGCAAAATAGAATGGAAAGTTGAACATACAAATAATTATTTCAGATTAAAAAAAAAAAGAAATCAGATCCTGGGCTCTGGTGTAGTAGGAATCTGGGAGAGACTGAAGGGCTGCCTGATGACTCATTATCTGTCCTAGGATTGCAGTGACTCCTTCTGTAGCCCTGAGACAACCCACCTGCATCTTCTCTAGGATGAAGGTCTTCACGCTAGTGCTGCTGGCTACCCTGCTCTTTGTGGAACGAGGTGAGCTGACCCCATGGGCTAATGTTTACTCAAGTACCTTCCAGATCCATTGATTGTGGGCTTGAAGCTGGAGGGTCTCTGTTGTCTATCCTGGTAGACTTCTTTTGCTCAGGCATAGAGGGCAGAAGTAAGAGCAGTAGATTAAAATCACAGAAAGGCCAGTTTCAGCTTAATATAGTAATAAAAAAAAATCCTTCTCCTTGGTGTGGTCCAAAAGAGGAATGGAGCCTTTGAAAGGTGGGTGTTTCTTTATCACTGGAAGCTTTTAAGCAGAGGCTGGAAGACTATCAAAGAAGCTGTAGATTCCTATTGAGGTATGGATAGGACTAGCTATCCCCTCAAGCCTTTTCTAACTCAGATTCTGTGATTCTAAGATCATCTGTGGCGTTATTTCTGAAAATGTAGGCTCTTTGAGGGCAGAGTTGTTTCATTTTTATTTTTGTTTCCCAAGCACCTAATATAGTGATCCTTTATGTAGTAGGTGCCTAAAGCATGTTTGTTGAATTTTGGATCATCTACTATTTAAAAAATTATTTTCCTGAGGATTATTGTGAGGAAAATACTTTGTAAAACCTGAAGTTATGTGGAAGTGAGACATTGTCATCACTATTTTTGTTGTATTGTTTAGGAAGGTCCCAATCCAATCCAATAAGCATTTATCAAGTACCTCCTATGTGCCAGAGACTGTGTTTGCTTCTTGGGACAAAAACAACACTGTCTCTGACTTCAAGGAGCTACCATTGTGTAGGACAGATACGATGTATAAATAACAGGTGCTTGATAATTTGAGGATGAGGGTGAGAAGACTAGCACCTAGGGGAATCAGGGAAGGCTTCCCACAGAAAGCTGCTTAAGAACCAAGCCTTGAAGGAGTCTAAGGATTCTAAGCAGTCGTGGTGAGGAAGGAGGTCCCCCGTGGGGGACTGCCTATTCGAAGGTATGGAAGTGGAATGTTGGGTAGGGAAGATCAGATAGTTAGTAGTCGAATTTTACAGGGACAGAGTTTGTGAAGGAAAGTAATATAAAATTAAATTTGGAAAGGTAGATAGGAGGCAGATTGTGATACCTAGGCCAACCTTCTCACATGACAGATTGTGAAACCAGAGAGAAACAGTGATTTTTTTTCAGGAACACATAGTCAGTGGAAGAATTGGCCCTTGAACCTAAATTTCTTCATTCTCATCACCAACTTCCTGTTTTTTGAATTTTTCCCATTCTTTTCTTCAGACTACATGGATAAGGACACAGATTTGGGCCTTTAAGGCCTTCAGGGATGTGGGTTGGAGTCTTCATGAACTTTGAGGGAATAAAAATAGTAACCCAGAGAGGAAAAGGCACAGAGATGTCCCTCCATGGGGCAAGTAACAACGTGGAGAGTCACAGGGTCAGGCAAGCAGTGTTCATGGAAAATTGGCCCCTGTCTTCTTAGTCTGAGAGAGCTTCTTGCAGGTGGGGAGGGGATGGAGTTGGGGGGTTGGGGGTGGGGCTCCCAAACTGCTAAAAAGAAGGGAGAGACAGCTTATTGAGTTAAGTTTTCTGTTCCCACAGAAAAGAAAGAAACGATTCAAGGGGAGGAAAGGATAGGAATGAATGGACTTGAGACACCATCATGCCTTGAGTGTAAGAATTAGCAAAGCCCACTAATTGTCAATCACACAGGACAACATGATATGACCAAGGCTTTAGAAACGAGCATTCAGTCAGTCAGCTAATATCTTTCATGTATGAGGTGCCATGCTAAGCCTTGGGGATACAAAAAAAGGCCAAAAGGAGCTCAAGAAGCTCATGGTCTAATGGGGAAGACAATATGTAAACCAACTATGTTCAAACAAGATACAGACGAGGAAGATTGGAGACAACCTCAAAGCAAAAGCACTAGGAGTAAGGAAGACCAGGAAAGGCTTCTTGGAAAAGATGAGTCTTCAGCAGAGACTCGAATGAAGGGAGGAGGTGGAAATGAGGAGTAAGAGAGTTCTAGGCATGAGAAATAGTCCCTGAAAATGCCTGAAGGCAGGAGGTGCAGTGGAGTGTTTGAGGAATGGCAAAGAAGCCAAATGTCATTGGACAAGAGTACGTGAATAAGGGGGATAAAGTGAAAGAAGACTGAAAAGATAAGAAGGAGACAGGCTATGAGGGGCTTTGAATGCTTAAACAGATGATTTTATATTTGACCCTGGAGGTAGGAGATGGTGGAGTTTGTTGAATAAGGGGATGATATGACCAGACTCGAATATTTGGGAAGATCATTTTGACAGCTGAGTGGAGGATGAACCAGAGAGGGGAGAGACTTATGCCAGAGAGACCAACCAGCAGGCTATTGCAATAGTCTAGATGTGAGGTGATGAGGGACTGTGCCAGGGTGGTGGTAATGTTAGGGGAGAGCAGAGTGGCTTCAGGAATCCAAAGTCCTAAACTTTCCCTCAGAATCACCCACAGAGTCACAGAATCTCAGAGTGGAAAGGGACCCCAGAGGTCATCTGTTCCAAGTCCTACCTGTGTAGGAATTCCTCAATAACATGAAAATAGTTCTGCATCTTTTCTGTTGTAAAGCTCCCAATGATGGGGAACCCATTGCCCCCTGAGGAAGCCTATTCCATTTTAAGATAGCTCTAATTGTTAGGAATTTTTTTTCCACTTCCACCTACTGCTTTTAGTTCTGCCCTCTGGGACCAAAAAGAGTAAGTCCAATCCCTCCTCCCAATGTCAGCCTTCAAACATATCACCACTTCCTTCACCTGACCTTTCTATGATGTTGTCTCTAATCCTTTCACTACACTTCTCTGGATGTTCTCCAGAGGCCACATTTGAACTCAGGTCCTCCTGAGTTGGCCAAATGGACAATCCTGTCTAAAATATAACACTAACAACTAAACATAGTCCTCTAGATATTCTGTGACCATAGCAGAGGACAAAAAGTCTTTTCTGGACATTGTAATTCTCTTGAGGTTTCCTAGGATAATGTTAGTTCTTTTGGCTACAATCGTCTTGTTGAATGAACTCATAGCCCACTAAAACTTGGGAGTACTTCCTTGAGGAGATTACAGAGAAGAGGGCAGAAGTGTCCAAGGGGAGTGAGGGTGGGGTGGGAGAAGAGACCAGATTAAAATGTAATTGGGAAATAGTTAACAAAATAAATTAAAATGTAATAAACAATATTAATTTGCAGTTTTCCAAGTCAATATGTGTCCTTCAGGGATACTTATGTACTTTTAGGTGGCCATTTTTATTTGAGTTTGACTCAGTTGGCATAGGGAAGGGGATTTTACCTGTGATTTTGTTTTTCTTCCTTCTCTTTCCCTTGTAGCTCATGCCCTCATGTGTTTCACATGTAACATGAAAAAGAGCTACATTAATTGTCTGAAGATCTCCTTTTGTGCAATAGATGAAAATCACTGCCTTTCTGAAGTAGTCTCATTAACTGTTGGTGAGTGATAACTCTAAGGGAGACACAGGCTTGCACCCCACTACCCCTCTGAGGCCCTTCCCCTATTGGCTTCTCTTTTGTGACCACTTTCCTTTCTTAGGAAGACAACATCTCTGACTCCAAGGAGGTGCTGAGCTGTGCCACCTTGAGCACGGATGTGTCATTCATATTCCCAGAATTCCTATGGGATTCATGGCATGCATTGGTGTGGTGGTAGGACCAAGGTTCAGTTTGTGGGTAGAGCTGGGATCAGACGTGGGCTGAGGTTACAGAACTATTGAATCTCAAAGTTGAGAGGGATGCAAGGAAATCATTCAGTCCCAGCCTTTACCATACCCCAAATAAATGGTTATCTACCCCTTGCTTGAAGACCCCCCCAAAATGGAATCTCTGCTTTCCAGAGGCAGCCAGTTCCATTGTGAGACAAATTCTAATTGTTAGGAAGTTCTTATTAATACAGAACCAAATTCAGCCTCCCTCCAACTTCCCTGTCCCTTCTTACTGCTCTTACTTCTACCTTTTGGGAGCAGCAGCAGAAGTATATGTGAGGGGAAGCTAGGTGGTGCAGTAGATAAAGCACTGGCTCTAGATTCAGGAGGACCTGAGTTCAAATCTGGCCTCAGACACATAACACTTACTAGCTATGTGACCCTAGGCAAGTCACTTAACCCCACTGCCTAGTTAAAAAAAAAAGTATATGTGGAATCCAACTGAACTCAATTGGAATTTAATCCATTTGAACTCAATGGAATTTCACATAGCCTTTCTTTTTTTAAAGCTCTCTCTCTTTTTTATTATAAGCTTATCAATCAGCCAACAAACATGAACATTTCAACAGGCAAAGACAAACTGAAAAAGATTCGTCTTTGAAGCTACAAATTTAAGTAACTTTTTACAAAGCGTGTTACATTTAATATAATAGTAATAACATGGCTGTGATTTGTTTGTGTTCCCTTCTGAGCTTTTTTGTTATTTTTCTACTCACTTAAGGATATTTTATTGTTGCTGTTTGTGTGTGCCTTTATCATAGCCCACTCATTCCCTTCTTCCCCCCCATCAGATAGACACCCTTTCTTATAACCAATAAGTGTGGTCGAGTGAAACAAATGAGTACATTGGCCACATCTGGAAAAGAATCTTTCAAATCGCCTTCCTTACTGCTACCTAAACGTTCCCACTTGCTTTGGCTGATCCTTATATGATGTAACCTGCAGTCCTTTCACCATGCTGGTCATCTTTTTCTTTCTACACTTCAATTTGTTTAGGTCTTTCTTGAAATATGGTACCCAAAACTCTACCTGTGTATTTGGAACCCAAGAATGTCAGGGCAGGGAAAGATCTTGGAGCATAAAACAATAGAGCTGGAAGGAACCTTAGAACATTGAATGTCAAAGCTGAGAAGAACATAAAATGTCAGAGCTAGAAGGGTCTTCAGAACCTAGAATATCAGGGCTAGGAGGAGCCTCAGAGCATGGAATATCAGTGCTGGGAGGAACCTTAGAACAGACAAACAGGTTAGAATGGAAACCTAATATAGAATGCTGACTCTTAGGGTGGCGAAGGACCCTAGGAATGTTCTAGTCCAATCTCTTCATTTTACAGAGATAGAGCTGAGGCCCAGACAATGGGAGTCATTTGCCCAAGGTTAACAGTAAGTTACTTATTTGTGGTTTTGTCTTTTTTTTTTTTTAAATACAGAACCCAAACAAAAGAACATCACCAAATCTTGTTCTTCCACCTGTCCGGGCAGTGGTTATACCACTGAGAAGACGGTTGTGACCATTCGATGCTGCCAACACACCCTGTGTAATATGTTCTCAAATGGTGGTGGACTCCGGGGCAGCTCCTTGGTGCTGGGCCTGTCTGTGCTGTTCAGTTTGCTTTATACCCTGGTGAGGCCAGGTGCTTGACACTGCTCCCCTCAGCCTGCCCCAAGGTCCCAGCGGAAACCTCCTAGCTTATGAGTTGGGAAGGTCTTTTATCCTTCTCCTTAGCTCTTCCTTACCTTCCGAATACTTGTAAGAGATAATGGAATTCAGGCCCTGGACACTTCTTTTTTTCTCTTCCCTTTTGTCTGTGGTTCTGCCTCTTGTTGAATTTTTATCACTTGACCCAGGCTCAAATGTCCCTAGTCCGCTGCCAGATCCCTTCATGGTGATGGAGGATAGCATTGGAAGCTGAGGGAGATACTTTCTATCTGTGGGATCTCAGGCAAGTAAATTTAACCTCTCTAGGCCTCAGTTTCCTTGCCTGTAAAATAAGGGTCTTGAACTAGATAATCTACAACATCCTTTCCTGTTCTAAATCCTATGATCTTCTGAGACAGCCTTGAATCTCCAAGCTGGATAGGTTTAGGAATCAGGGGTGATGGCCCAGGGAGATTAGGACATATAAGGTTAGAGTGGAAACACCCTGCAAATCGGTGTATGTATGTGGGTATGAGGGGAAACTTTTATGTGCATGTGTTTCAAGTGTACATGTGTGGACTGTACTTGCCTATCAATGTGTGATTTCTATACGTGTGGTTATGCATGCTTTTGTAACTGTATGCTTTTGGGTAGACAATTTTGCCTGTGCTTCAGGCAGTTATGAATCTCGATGACTGCATCTGTGCTCATGTGGGCTTCTGTTTATTATTTTTTATGTGTTTTGTATGTGTGTGAATGTGTGTGAGTGATTTGTATGTTCTTATCTGTTTTTGTGTCACATGGATGTGAATGTGTGATTGTGAGAATAGGTGAGTGTGTGTATGAAGGGCTGTCATCACTCTGGCACTCACCCTACCAAGTTCCTTTCCGGACTCCACCGCCTTGGTCAGCCCCACAATGGGCCCTAGGTGTAAAGGGCTGAGCTGGGTTTCCTGCCATACTCTGGCCGCAGTGTTGAGGGGGAGTATGTAGGCTCTGTGGAGCCTCCAGGCTAGGAGAGAATGAGGAATACACTGGGACCCAATGATTTACCTCTTTCTGAGGGTGGTTTTCTGCATCCATGACTTCTCCCTCCTTCTCACCTTAGCCAAAATGCAGTCCAGCCTCTACCCAACTGGTCCTTTTCTTGTTCAGTGCCTCAAATAAAGGCAAATGCTTCTACCTTTCTCCCTTCGTGTCTGCCTATATTTGACTGTCCCCAGGGGCCTACCTAAGAGGTAGTCACCCCTCAGCTCTCCAGGAGCCCTTGGTCTGAGGGAAACAAGAATGGAACTAGTTTTTGCACATACCTCAGTTGGAGTCCCTGTCCTCTGTGCCCAACGAGATAGACTAGAGCCTTCAAATGAAGCAAAAGAAGACGCAAACGACCCATGAGCTAGGAATAAGGAGACCCATATTCCAGGGCTGTCTCTGCCTCTGCCATTAATTCCTTTCAGTTCTGTGGCTCTTGGTTTTCTCTTCTATGAAAGAGAGAGGTAAGACTAGAGCAGACCTGCACAACTTGGCAATAGGTAGGGGCCAACATTAAAACACGCTAAACTCCTTCAGACTGCAGATAGGTTTTCAGCGGCTCGCTTTCCAAGTAAAGGTCATGGCTGGCTGCCACGGGTCATGTGGCAAACAGGAGCGAGTGTGCAATGGCCACCTACTCGCCACGTTACATGACGGGCACAGTAGTGACCAGTGGAAGGCGGGTTAAGTGGGGCACGGACAATGCACTCAGTACCTCTTTGCTTTCCTTTTACATCCGCTACATTTTTTGTGGGCTGCCTGAAATCCTTTGGTGGGCCATATGTTGTGCAGGTTTGGACTAGAGGATCCTGATGATCTGATGATCCCTTCTACCTCTGCCTCTGAAACCTTTGAATAGAGGTGAGCTTGCTGCTTTCTCCTTTACAAAGACCCTGGAATGCTCTGAGAAAAAATTAAAAAAAGACAAAAGTCTTTGATCCTTGGATAAAGGACTGGGGCTTTTAAAGGAAGGGGGGAAAGGTGGCCTTTTCCACCTTGGCCTTTGTGAATTGCACCTCTGGCTGTGAACTGCACTCTCCCTAGCACACAGTAGGCATTTAATAAATGCTTGTTGAATGAATAAATAGAAGCCTTTGACCCATTCTTAGTGAAGAGGAGGGAGGAAGGGATTACAAGGTCCTCAAGCACAGTCCATATTTCTTTGAAGTAGGGAGTGGGAGCTGGTTAAAACTCTGAAAAAAATAAATTGGGCTGGGAGTGAGGAACCCCACTAGACTGTCAGCTATGTTCCTCCCTGGACCCACATGAGAGTTTGCTCAAAAACCAGCCACTTTGTTCAAGTGGGATAACTAGAGTTGCAGAGCCCCTGGTCTGAAAGGGGGATATAGCCCTTGCCTCCAATGTGAGGAAAGGGAGCAGTCTTTTACCCCACAAGTCCCCCTACTGTAAGAGAAGGACACAGTTTCTGCTATTAAGGAATTCCTAGTCTGAGTGGGGAAATATTATTTGGTTCTCAGGAACCCCTGATCTGAGCGAGAGACTTGCCCCCCTCCCCCATGAGTGAGGAGACATAGTCCTCAGGAAGTCCCCATCTGAGAGATAGACATGAGCTCTGGCATCAAGAAACCACTTATTTGAGGGAGAGATACAGTAACTGTCCTGAAGAATTCCCCAGTGAAAGGAGGACACTGAGTTCCCGATCTTAGGAAGCATCTGATCTGAGAGAGATACACATGCACAGCTCCAATCTTTAGGAAGCCCCTGATCTGATAGGGAAACAGCATCTGTGCAAAGTAAGCCATTGATCTGAGGTGGAGACATGACCCCTGTCCTGGGGGAGCCCTCAGTGTGAGGAGGAGACCAGATCGACACTCATGGAAGGAATTCAAATACAGGAAAAAACTACATTCAGAATTGACCAAAATCAGGTTGAATTGTTCAGGGAGGGCTTTCCAGATGCAGTATGGCTTGAAAAAGATCCTACCCAGAGGCACACAATCAACCCAGTACCCTAAGTAAGGTCTAAAAAAGTGAGCTTGCTGGAGTCAAGGAGGTAGAGATCACTGGCAAGAAGAACTCTATCTTTAGGTTTAAGATGTTGAAAACCCTGTTCATTTGGTCAGCACATATTCCCTAAGCACCTACTGTGTGCAGGTCCTTGTATTCACTCTTGAGTAGGTGAATAAGACACAGATCCCTGGGGCACACCATGAGAGATCTCATTCCAAGTTGGTGCCGAATCATTCGTCATTACTCTTTAGGTCCTGATGATTCATGACCAATCCTAAATTCCCCTAATGATTACATTGCCTAGTTCACATGTCTTTATCTTGTCCACAGCAAAACTTTGCTAAATCCTTTAGAACTCTCTCTGTTCTACCAGTCCTGTAAGACTTCACCAAAAAAGGGAGTGAGGTTGGTCCAGAATGACCCAATCTCAATGAACCTTTGTGGTCATAACTTTCTTTTTGAGATGTTCACTCACCATCTCAGGAATAATGTGTCCTAAAATTTTTCCAGAAATGAAATTCAAGCTCACTGGCCTATTGTTTGTAGACTGCATTCTCTGCCATCTTTTGAAAATCAGAATAATTAGTGTCTATACTGCTCCAATCTCTCTATCTCCGTCTCTGTCTCTCTGTCTGTCTGTCTCTTTCTCTATCACTTTCATTGAAAAAAAATCTCTTAGATTTTTAGAAAGCATATCCACCACTTCTTTTAGTATCTTGGGATGTAATTTATGAGGACCAAGTGAAATGAACTCAAAGTGCAGTCAGGAACTCTCAAACTATCTTTTTATTTATCTTGTCTATGAACTTCTTCAGTCATTTTTGTTCTGACCTTTCTAGTTCAAAGAATCTTGATAGAGAAAGATAGAAGAGGAAGATGTGAGCAGCTCCACCTTCTCTCTGTCATTCTCTCCCCATATGCTCCCTGCCCTTAGCACTAGATTTTCTCTATTTCCTCAATATACTTTAAAAAATTTGGTCCCCTCATACATTCCACAGTTCATCCTTCTTGCTCTATGACAAACTCCAACTGTTTAGCAAGTCTTGTGCAGAAGTAGATTTAGGCTTAGAAGTAGTTTTAATTACTAATTTCTGAGTGCCCCCTTTTTCTAAGCATCTCTCTGGGGACTCCTGTGAAGGCTGCATGCTATCACGTGTTGTCTCTCTTGAGGTAGCAGCTGCATTGCCCTCCCATGTACCTTTCCCAGTACTCTATATCCACGTTCCCCCTTCCCCAAAAGATTCTCAGCAGTGGGCAAAATCCTTTCATTTGTACCCTTGTCACAGTCCATGGGATCTCTTTACTCCTCCATCCCTTGACCCCTCCCCATATCTCTGCTCAAATCAATAAAATTTGGTGAGGGTCTATACTTATTACTCTACATCAGCCCCCCAGCAACTGGGCAACCGTGGTTATCATTCACCTTCAACAAACAGATACACAAATATTCTCTAAGCTGCTGTCTGTTTTGGTACTTGTGTGGGTCTCTCCTGACTTAGGCATCACCAAGGCAGGTAGATTAAAAGTATATCCCTATCCCTCATGCTTATCCCCACACAATGGCTGATGTTGGACAAGCTTTTGAAATGTAATCAATGTGTAAGAGCTGGACTCTTATCATCATGGTCCAGGTTCAGTCTTAAGGGACTCTCTCAAAACAAAAATCTCTATATTGTGTTGTGTTCCAACCGAGGTTTCTCCTTGGCACAACAGAATCTAGCTGTTTTATAAAAAGATCCTCAGCTTCCTTGCAAGTGCTCAAGCTGACAAAGCAGTAAACATAGAACAGGTTCATTTAAAATCAGTTTATTTGGAAAGACAGCATGACAGTGGATGGAAGGTGGACCACAGAGTCTGGACAATCTAGATTCATTTTCTGTCTTTGCCATTTACTAGCTATAATAAGTTAATAAACACATATTAAGCACTTACTAAGTATCAGGTCGGGGGTAAAGTGGATAGAGTGCTGGGCCTGAAGTCAGGAAGACTCATCTTTGTGCTTTTGAATCCATTCTTAGATAGTTACTAACTGTGTGACCCTAGGTGAGTCATTTAATCCTGTTTGCCTCAGTTTCCTCATCTGTAAAATGAGCTGGAGAAGGAAATAGCAAACCACTCTAATCTCTTTGCCAAGAAAACCCCAAATGGGATCACAGAGAGTCGGACACTGAACAACAACGACAAAAACATAAAGTGCCAGGCATTGTGCTGATTGCAATAGACACAAATATTGTCCTTGCCCTCAAGGAGCTTACATTCTAATGAGGGAAGACAATATATGCAAGAGCACTTAAAAGGGATGGGGAGCAGGAAGCCATGAGGGGACATGGTGGCAAACTCCTCCTTCCTTCCATCTTTCCTTCCTTCCTTCCTTCCTTCCTTCCTTCCTCTTCCTTCCTTCTCTTCTCTCTCTCTCTCTTCTCTCTCTCTCTCTCTCTCTCTCTTTCTTTCTTTCTTTCTCATAATCTACAGACAATAAACACAACAGTCTAGCAGTGGTGGTGATGGGATACTGGGCTGGTAAGTTATTGGTCACTCTCACTCTTGTGTTGGTTGAGTTTCCTTCTTTCAAGCTACTTACTTCGCTCCTCCCCTTTGGAAAATTTGGTTTTTGCTTTCAAATGGAGAGGAAGATAATGGGTCTTGGAAGTAGCCAAGGCCATACCTCTTACATCAATCCCAGCTTCTCATAACTTCTCCCAGTCAAAACTGTTGCCTAGCAAGATTGGGTTGTGTATTTCTCTACTCTGGGAAGTTATAAAAATCTACTTATCTCTCCCTTCCTAGTCATTCCTCTTACTTTCTTTTCATAACCACATTTGAACAATGAGATAGACTTTTGTCTTAAAACTGCCTTTAAAGATAAAGTGAACAGGAAGGTGTATAAACTTTAAAGAAATAGCGATATAGGCACGCAGACTCTGAGCAGAGAATGAAAGAGGATGCTGGATGAGGTTAGCGTGGAATCACCAGCTTTGGGTCAATCTGGGGTGACCTCAGCAAGAAGAGGAACTGCTTAGACATGCCTAATGCCCCCAGTTTCTGTACTGATGACCTAATTACTGTAGCTCCTTTCCGTCTATTGTTTCTATTCTCCTTGTCTTTTGCTTTGCCACTTTCTCAGTGCTGCTTTCCTTAGGCGGTAGTGGAGTGGTGGGGTGCCATCTGCTT